ATCTCAGCGTTCATTCGGACGGACAGACAGACGGACATGGCTAGATCGACTCGGCTAGTGATCCTGATCAAGAATATATATACTTTATGGGGTCGAAAACGCTTCCTTCTGCCTGTTACATACTTTCCGACGAATCTAGTATACCCTTTTACTCTACGAGTAACGGGTATAATCAATGAATTAATTAAAAATAACCATAAAAAATATATTATCAATTCTAAATTGTTCAAAGAAATAGAATCTCTTTCTGAAGATTTTGAAAGGGTTTTTATTGATTAAGATCACTAAAAAACATCTCGATTGTTAACATTTGACCTACAAAATTTAATTGGTACTATCACCCTTGCAAAAATTTATGTTTTTAATACAATAATTTTAAATAATGAAGATACTAAGTAATTTTCGCTGACTTAAGGGATATCTCTGTATTCAAAATCGCAATACATAAACAACTTTTGATAATTTATGTATAATACCGAATAATAAAAAACAGACGCGATATATATTACGCCCGATCCATTTCCCAATCCGCTGGAAAATTATAAATAAGTAATCAAGTCGCAAAATGCGCAACTACATATTACGAAATTTCAACATTTAAGAAAGTACTCTTTAATAATAATTGCACTTTAAGTTCAGAAAAAACTTGTTTTACCCGATTATTAAACGGTGAAAAATCATTTTGTAAATAAATAAGAGAGAAAAATAAAAAAATAGACATTATCCAAGATTGTGGCATTTTAATAAATGGTAACAATATTGTTAACAACTCCGAGTTAAGCGGATCATTCTTAATAACATTTAATGGTACAACCACAATTAATAACGTTTCATATATCAATTTAGAGAATAAAATTCTTAACTTTATAACTACGAACCACTTCAAAAATTATGAAATATCCGATTATATATATATTATTATAAACTCGGAACACTCTTTGGATAATATAAACATTTTAAATCCATTTATTAAAATTAATAATACCAAAATATCTATATCCTTAATATTATTAATTTAAATCATTATATATTTGATTTGCCTACCCATTATTAAATAAAAACAAGGAAGAACGCTATAGTACCTCGACTATGAGATACCCGTTACTCAGCTAAAGGGACCAAATGGAAATGGAGATATGCAAGAAGGAAAGCGAGATTAAAATGCGCCACCTACCGGCGGTAGACAGATTTAAGCGTTATACGCGTTAGAGTGGGCGTGGCAATTTTTTTTTTGATCAATCGATAGGTACCAACGCATTTCAGTTAAAATTTTTTATCTATCATGAAAATTGTGGGCGTCACAGGTTTTCGCGGTTTGTGGGCGTTAAAGTGGGCGTGGTAAACTTTTTTTTGGGTCAATCGATAGGTATTGATGAGAACAGTACACTTCAGATAAATTTTATTTTTATTCTAGCATCAAAACTGTAGGAGCCGCAGTTTTGGGCGGTTTGTGGGCGTAAGAGTGGGCGTGGCACATTGCTGAAACAAACTTGCGCTGCGTAAGAAGCTCAGGAATCTGCACGCCAAATCTGAATAGCCTAGCTCCCATAGTTTCCGAGATCTCAGCGTTCATTCGGACGGACAGACAGACGGACATGGCTAGATCGACTCGGCTAGTGATCCTGATCAAGAATATATATACTTTATGGGGTCGAAAACGCTTCCTTCTGCCTGTTACATACTTTCCGACGAATCTAGTATACCCTTTTACTCTACGAGTAACGGGTATAATCAATGAATTAATTAAAAATAACCATAAAAAATATATTATCAATTCTAAATTGTTCAAAGAAATAGAATCTCTTTCTGAAGATTTTGAAAGGGTTTTTATTGATTAAGATCACTAAAAAACATCTCGATTGTTAACATTTGACCTACAAAATTTAATTGGTACTATCACCCTTGCAAAAATTTATGTTTTTAATACAATAATTTTAAATAATGAAGATACTAAGTAATTTTCGCTGACTTAAGGGATATCTCTGTATTCAAAATCGCAATACATAAACAACTTTTGATAATTTATGTATAATACCGAATAATAAAAAACAGACGCGATATATATTACGCCCGATCCATTTCCCAATCCGCTGGAAAATTATAAATAAGTAATCAAGTCGCAAAATGCGCAAATACATATTACGAAATTTCAACATTTAAGAAAGTACTCTTTAATAATAATTGCACTTTAAGTTCAGAAAAGACTTGTTTTACCCGATTATTAAACGGTGAAAAATCATTTTGTAAATAAATAAGAGAGAAAAATAAAAAAATAGACATTATCCAAGATTGTGGCATTTTAATAAATGGTAACAATATTGTTAACAACTCCGAGTTAAGCGGATCATTCTTAATAACATTTAATGGTACAACCACAATTAATAACGTTTCATATATCAATTTAGAGAATAAAATTCTTAACTTTATAACTACGAACCACTTCAAAAATTATGAAATATCCGATTATATATATATTATTATAAACTCGGAACACTCTTTGGATAATATAAACATTTTAAATCCATTTATTAAAATTAATAATACCAAAATATCTATATCCTTTATATTATTAATTTTAATCATTATATATTTGATTTGCCTACTCATTATTAAATAAAAAACAAGGAAGAACGCTATAGTACCTCGACTATGAGATACCCGTTACTCAGCTAAAGGGACCAAATGGAAATGGAGATATGCAAGAAGGAAAGCGAGATTAAAATGCGCCACCTACCGGCGGTAGACAGATTTAAGCGTTATACGCGTTAGAGTGGGCGTGGCAATTTTTTTTTTGATCAATCGATAGGTACCAACGCTTTTCAGTTAAAATTTTTTATCTATCATGAAAATTGTGGGCGTCACAGGTTTTCGCGGTTTGTGGGCGTTAAAGTGGGCGTGGTAAACTTTTTTTTGGGTCAATCGATAGGTATTGATGAGAACAGTACACTTCAGATAAATTTTATTTTTATTCTAGCATCAAAACTGTAGGAGCCACAGTTTTGGGCGGCTTGTGGGCGTTAGAGTGGGCGTGGCACTCTGCTGAAACAAACTTGCGCTGCGTAAGAAGCTCAGGAATCTGCACCCCAAATCTCAATAGCCTAGCTCTTATAGTTTCCGAGATCTCAGCGTTCATCCCGACAGACAGACAGGCGGACAAACGGACATGGCTAGATCGACTCGGCTAGTGATCCTGATCAAGAATATTTATACATACTTTATGGGGTCGAAAACGCTTCCTTCTGCCTGTTACATACTTTCCGACGAATATAGTATACCCTTTTACTCTACGAATAACGGGTATAAATATATTTGTAACCGAAAACAACGCCCAGAACTTGAGAAACATATTAACGAAGAAATTTTTTTAACAGAATCAAGATATCGCTTAAACGAAATTTTTTATGAACCGGGACGAACCATTTTGGAAGGGGGAGAGTTATCCAACCCGTGAAACGGATCCACTTATGGAATTTATAAACAAATTTTTGAATTCAATCTCAGCTATGTTGCCCTTGCTTTCAGCGACAGTGCCTTTGTCTCTGTTTAAGATTCTGCCTTTGCCTTTTCCATTATCTTCGAGGGCCGCGCTTGACCGTCCTGCTAAGATAAATAAACCAATCGTAAAGTAAACACAAGCTTCCGTTCGAAGCCCAAACTTTTCCGTTCAAAGCCCATAATATTGCGTTCGAAGTTCAAAACATATTGTGTTCCGATTTTCAATCAAATTGCATCGGTCAGCATAATTTCATTTCACAGCGAGATGCGACAGTTTCAGCATAAGCTTTTATTTTAAACCAAAATTAAGGGGTTATATACGAAAAAATGAAAAATTTTTTTTTTGCTGCCTAAAGTATATCCCCTAGGGAACATTTTCCTAAATTTTCATAGAGATCCGAATAATAGTTCGACGATGACTTGTAAGTTTGTCTGCTCGACTTCAATAGTTGCATATACTCAATGTAAAACTTTGAATGCGATTATCTCAAAGTCGTGTTTTTCCAAAAGTGCCTTTGCTGTTACCGCGATTGCACAAGAACTATTTGATCGATCTTCTTCATTTTTTTTTTTAATTATTCGTAACGATTGTGCCGAGTTTCAGTTTTTATGCGCCAATTTTGATTTTGCAGATCAGAATTTTTTAATAAAATTTTTAGAACTCCAAAAATCAACTTTTTGGAAAAATCGTTACTGTATGCAGAAAAAACCAAATATTCTTGAAAATAATCGTTTACGAACTGGAAATAATACTATACTAATAAAATTTTTTGGTTTTTTTGATATCAGTTGACCTGCTGGACTTCCAACGTGGTCACCGCAAGCCGCTATAAAAAAAGGGTTCCGAGAAAATTGCCATAACTTCGTAAATTATTTATATTTTTTCAAGAACAAACGCTTGTTTCGATAAAAACATGTACTATCAATAAATAATAACTTCAGTGTCATAAAAAACTTGCTACACACCTGAAAAAAATCCAAAGTTCGCTCAATTTTTTCGCTCAAAAAGGTACACTGATAAAAAAAACGTAGTAAATCCAAATATTTCATATTCAACCCAAATATTTTTCGCTTTGATTTTCATCCATTGCGGTTTTTATTAAATTTAAATATGCGCATATTAACTTTTTTTCCATATTAAATTTAAATATTTTCGGAATAGATTTTAATACTTAAATATTTAAGTTAAATATAAGCCATATTTAAATTAAATACAATGCATATTTCTATTTAATATTATGACTATTTGATTTTAAACTTTTAAAATTTGAATTAAATAGTACACGTGTTTAATATAAATAGAAACCATATTAAATTCTTAAATTTTAATAGTTAAATGAATAACCGAAATATTAAAATTCAATATAAGTCGTATTAAGATTCAATACTAGACATATTTATTCAAAATATGCCAATTATAATATTAAATATGATAAGTATTCAAATATTTTTGGTACACTAAAAAAAAATAGTACACAAATTTTATTTCTGTTTTTTCGATTATATTTAAACATTTATTCTTCATTACGGCTTGCTGGAAGGTACAAATAATACAGTTACACTTATATTTATTTTACAGAGATCTGTATAAAACATATTTTTTCTAGCATTTACATCATACATACATACATGTGCATTGGATGGCTTGAAAACTCTTCAATGTTTTTTAAGAACTAATTTTTAATTATTCCGTATACATATGCCTGCAAATGGTTGCATGTTTTAACTTCTATAGCATTACACGCTACATACACAGTTGTCAATTCATAAACGAAAGAAAGTACTTTAAACAATCTTAGAGTATTACCAATCTTAATAGCTAAACACTAATTAGTTTTGTAAGTTATCTGCGAAATAAATAGTAAGATAAAAAAGAAAATTATAGATTTCGTTTTAAAGAGATCAATCAAAATATGAATGGTTAAAGATTTGGACCTGAAAGAAAACAACAAAAGAGCACAAAAAAAATAAATAAAAAGACAAAATCCGAATGTAGTCTGACTAAAATTATAAATTACCAATTCCGGAGCCCGCGAGTCAGCATATTTTGGCCATGCTTTCAAAGCTCAGCTCCATCGAAAGTTTTCACATCCTTACGCCGAGTATGGGTTTTATTCTCAACAGGAACCTCCAATATTTTATCCAGTTTTATATGCTTCGTTCTGGAATTTGTATATTTGGCATATATGTATGTTGGTTCGAGAATGTATTTGTTTGCCACTGCGAGGAATGATATAGAAAAAATGTATTATTTAATTTAAAACCTACTTTGCCGTATTCTTACTTTTAAAAATGTATTTATTTCTACGTTTTATACTTACCTATTACTTTGCCAGGAACGGTAAACGCACGCTGTGTATGGGTAGATGTGTTGCAGAAAATGTACATGTGTGTGTTCGCTAGGGCACGCCCAGTCGTAAATGACAGCATTCCAGCATGCGTTCTTTCATTATGAAATGGCATCAAAAAGGTGTTCCGGAAGGGATGAGTCTGTCCATTCTTTTTACACGGGTGCGGGACAAAAAAGAATGCACCCGTTGCATGCTTCTGGAAGCATATATCTGGAATGCACCTGGAAGTAACAAACTAAACACATTCTGGGTGCACTCGTTTTTAATGCACCTGGAAGCAACATACTAAACACCTTCTGGGTGTACTCTTTTTTAATGCACCTGTAACATGTACCCAGGAATGCACCTAGAAGCATTCAAAAACCAAATATCTGGAAGTTTTCCCCAGGAATACATAAAACTGGATTTCAATTTCATATTTATTTTCATTTCAATATTCAAGAACGCAACTAATTTTTAATCGGAGTAACTCCCCTGCTGTACGGTGCTTTGGTGCTTCCTTCTTGTTTATGTACTTTTGTCATTTACGCAGTTCAGTCCTTGGTGTGCCCATTTATTTTTTGCGATTCTGAAAAATATAAAGCAAATTGAATATTATATATTTTGAAATATGTGTATATACATTACAAATATACAATATGTTTATTTTGTATGTACAATTTACATAAAAATAGTTATTATTTTATTTGTTTAATATATTTTTAGTTTGATTGTTCAGTGTACATGTACTGTGTTATTTTATTGTGTTCATATTGAACTAAATTATCTACACTTTACTTACCTGTGAAAATATTGATGTAAAATTGGTGGCAGAAAGCAACAAACTTTTTCAAAACACGTGGCGCGAACTTTACTTTTCAGAACTAAAAATGCAACTGACGAAAAATGCAAGAGGCAAGAAAAACCGCTCTCCTCCTTGCATGTTCCCTTTTGTCTTTATTATTTGTTTGTCAAGAGAACAGTTCCGAAAAAAGACGATTGTAAAAAAATGGGCATCGGCAACCTTCGGGTTTGAGTTTGGTTTTTTACATTCCCAAAAGACTGCCCCCAGCACGCACAGTTGCTAGTTAAATTTGCACGCGTGTTGCTTTGCGTAAAAAAGATACGACCCAGAACTATTTCTTTCGGAATACGTTCCCGAAACGGGTGTTTGGGCATGCTTCTGGATGCATTATTCTGAAACACTTCTAGAAGGCACCGCAATAGAATGCACCCAGCACGCACATTTGCCTTGAAAAATTGGCATCCGTGCTGTTTTGCGTAAAAAAGGTACGACCCAGAACTATGTTTTTTTAAAACACGTTCCGCAACTTACGACTGGGACGCTCAACTTTGTTGGCGACCAAGCAACGGTAAACGCACTGTGTGGTATATGTATGTGTGTGTAGCTGCACTTGATTGTATGTTCATACGTTTCTGAGAACCGAAAATTTTAATCCAATTAATAATTAATACATTCTACGTGCATATGTATGTATATGTATGCGTGTAACGGCGCGCGCTAATTTGTTGTATTCTAGGAAAACGCAGTACGAGTAAAATATTTTTGATAATTTTAATTTAACTTTTATACACACATATGCACATATTAATTTTTAGGCTATTTTCACTTTAAAAAAGATACGACACGTCCTACTTCTTTGGCTGCAATTATGAAATGGCAAGCGTCGTGCCGTGTTGAAAAAGCGGAATCAATTGTACATATGTACATACATATGTATTTCCGAATACAGTTTAAAGAAAAGACATGCCGCGAAAAATGTACTTTTTGGCATTGAATGTTGCTGCCAACATACACACTTATTTACATATTTAAAGAAACTTCACATGATTTTTTGATAGCGCGATCAAGTTTAATTTTATATTTGTATGCCAACTTCACTTTTATAAAGACCCGACACGTCCAACTTCTTCGGCTGCAACTCTTCAATAACTCGCGTCGTTTAGTGATCAAGAAGAAGAGTCATTGATCAAAGCAAACGCGAAAGAATGTGTGTAGGATAGAACAAAAAAAAACCGCCAAAAATTATCTTAGCGCCTTCGTTTTTGTTCTGCCCATTTACATAAGTACATACATATGTACATATGTCAATTTACTTTAATGTATATAAATTTGTTTTTAAAAATGTATAATGTTTGGCCTGAGCAAATGTATGGACATGAGTATACAGTTTATGAAATAAATCTTTTTGTTATAGTCAGCTTAAAATATTTATTTTAAATATTATCGTACTTAAAAACGGACATGGCAGAAACTAATATTTAAATATGAAACATATTTAAATGTGATAGTACAAATAAAATACATTTTAATTAGTTAATTTGTACGTAAATATAAAAGATATCTTCTTGAGGTGTTTTTATTTGATATAAACATTGAAAAACCCTTTCAAATTGACACTTTGTATATTATTATTACAAACATTTTTACTTTAAATATTAAAAACTTTAAAATAAAATAATTTGAATACTCAAAATTAATATGAAACATTTTTAATTTAAATACGGATTTTTTTAATTCTGAAAATATTAACGATAAATATAATATTTTTAAAAATAAATATAAACAAATTTAAATTAAATATGCTCTTCTTTGATTTAAATATTTTAGTACATATTAAACTATGCAATTTAATATGTTTCGTATATAATACAATGTTTTTTGTATTAAATTTTAATACGAAATATGAAATTTTTGATTCAATATGCGGATATTTAAATGTACTATTCCATTTTTTTATCAGTGTATATAACCCCTTAAGAAGCATTGAGCTTAAGAACCAAATTCAAAGTTATTTTATATTTTTTTTGGCTTTCCTTCTATTTGAAACAAATTGCAGCATATTACAATCAGGCTGGAAAAATAAAATAAGCACAACCATCCATCCATCCGAAGAACTGCAGCTGGTTGAACTTGTACTGACGAGCGACTGCGATCAAGTCAAGCAAGCTAATCGTCTTTCGACCCGTCTTCTCCGCTGCAAAGAACACGTCCACGTCGTTGTAGCACTTAGTACGACCCAGCACATAGGCGGCGAATCCGCCCGCTATCATCCATTAATCGATCCCTCGTTTCCTCACTGCGGTCAGGATGGGAGCGCACCTCAAGAGCTCTCTGAGGGTGAGCGGTCGCATCTTGTCGATCTCCAATACTGCTACAGAATATTGCTCCTCTACTGAAATTTGGTGCTCTACTTCGCACATTGTAGCTGCTTATCCGAACATTCAACTGTGGCGTAGTGCCTGTTTGGCGCGTCTTATAAGGTTACTGGAACGGTTCCTTTTTTTTATTTGAATCAAATTGCAACCACACACATCCGGGGTTCAGAAGCATATCAGAAGCACTTTGTTGAAAGTGTGGGAAATTAAAATAAACACGCCATCGAGTCTGAATAATTCTAGATAGCAACTGCAAATAAATAGCGCTAGGCATTCAAATTCGAAGTCAGTTTAAAGTTGAATTTCATTCGATTCAATCCCCAAATACGAGAACGAGAACGAGGACAAAATGGATCAACAACAACAACAACAACAACAACAACTCCAGCAACAGCAAAAAGAAGGATGTTGCAACAAATGGAACAACACTCAGCCTCCGCCGAAAGGCGCAGTAGTTCGTTGCATTGATTGTATATGCAATTGCAACAACAGCCACTGTTATGAAACCCCCGATGAGGATGACAAAGAAGAAAAAGACAGCGCTTTCCATATTCTTACCCAAGTACCGGAGAATAACGTTGATGAAAGCACCCATGTAGGTTACCATAACCATACCTGCTGCGTCTAGACAGAAAAAAGTAAAAACTCGCAAAATTTTTAAAATAAAAATTTTATTAAAAACAAGAGAGATCGCTATAGTCGAGTACCTCGACTGTCAGATACTCGTTACTCAGCTAAAGGGACCAAAGGGAAATGGAGATATGCAAGCAGTAAAGCGAGAATAAAGCGCCGTCTACTCGCGATCTCAATATATGGTTATACCCACATAACAGACATAGACAGATTTAGGCGTTATGGGCGTTAGAGTGGGCGTGGAAAACTTTTTTTTGGATCAATCGATAGGTATTGACGAGATTAATACATTTCTGTTAACATTTTTTTCTAGCATGAAAATTGTGGGCGCCACAGATTTAGGCGTTATGGGCGTTAGAGTAGGCGTGGCATCTTCGCGTGACAAACTTGCACTGCGTACAAGGCTACGGGATCTAAATCTGAAATCCCGCGTAGCCGCCGGGAAACTAGCCAAGACAATATCGCCCGCGCAGCTGCAGAAAAAACTAGCCAGAACTACCACGCCCGCGTAGCCGCAGGGAAACTAGCTAAAACAACCACGCCCGCGTGGCAGCAGGGAAAACTAGCCAGAATTACAACGCCCGCATAGCCGTAGGGAAAACTAGCCATAATTACCACGCAATTTTGCCCAACAAGGTACTCCCTGTATTTTCAATTTCCACAATCAAACAATATTTCTGTTTATTGTTATTTTCCTGACCACTCGCACTTGTTTTCCTAACGACCTTCACTCCTCTCACCCTGTATCTTCCAGCCAGGTTGCTAAATGGAATCGCTCGCGAGTTAATGCTTTTGATCCAGAGTTGCCGGCAGCTACTCTCCTGTGCAGCGCGGCTGGTGCAGCACGATGTATTTTTACCCGTAGAAATGCGATACCGGCGCGTGCCCCGACCGTCGTCGTTCCCTGTTTTTCAGCAAAAGTCTCGTGTTTTCGTCGCGTGAAGATTGGTTCCTCTTTTCCAGTGTGACCGTCTCTCTATATCCCAAAATGCTTCATTTTTATATCGTGGTGCGTTTCTTGCTGGGATCGAGCTGCGTCCTGGCTAGATTTTCATCGGTTGGGTAGCCTTGTTGCGGGGTTTCCGTATCTAGGATTCGGTAAAGCTGACTACCTAGCTATTTTACTGTTTTTTTTGGTTCAGATTGTTTTCTTAGCAAGCTTTTTACAAATAAGAACGCAGTTATTTTATAAGTCGTAAGGCAAAAATTTAAAATCTATTTTACTCACTGAAGGGAGTTCTTATATTAGCTATAATATTAATGTCAAAAATGTGATTCTTCACAAGTTGAAGAAAGCCACCAAGCGGCATTACCCACTGGAGATGAGTATGCCTCAAGACTAACAGGATTAAAGAAGCTGGTAGAGAAATATAAGCATGTATTTAAAGACAACATGGCGTTAGCAAGTGGCGAATCCAGAAAAACCCAAAGGACCCCATAGATAGCAAATCAAGAGTGATTTATCGATCGATACAAGGACAATGCAACGAATTGGAATCATCTCTTATTTTGGCCTCAATTGCGCCAATTGCAACGAAACTTAGAAGTCCATGCTGTAGACGATAAACGCACAACCCACAACAACACTCCGCAATCAATCAGTTCACAACGAAGTCAATTACAAGCATGTAGGCGCTTTCAGGAAATGGATCCCAGAGCTCGGCGCCAAGCTATTGTTCATGTAGGAGGATGCAAAAATTGCTTGCCTAAAGCTCATAAGGTTGAAAGCTGTGAGTCACTGGCCAATTGTCGAGTCTGCCAACAACGGCATCATACAATGTTTCGTTAAAACTATTAAGCAATCCAATCCGCGGCATAGAGGGAGGTAACCTTTTATGAACCTTAAACCCAACGTTACTACTGGCAATACAATTAGTGAGAATGCAAAGGGTTTCTAAAATTCCACTGAGCAGTTGAAAAAGTAAATATAAAAGAAACGAATCCTTGGAAGATTCATAACGAATGAAAATAGGTAATAAAAAAGTATGCAGAATAGCAGACTCAAAACTAATACATAGCCATAAATTTCTCACCCGCCCAACCATAATCTATAACCCTCTTTGCACATTGTCAAATGTCTGTCATAGTAAATCGTAAATTTGACTTGGTGAAATGTTTTCTTGGTAAAATTATTGACAGTTAAATAGTTTCTTATTGTTAACATTTTGAATCTCTACCGGCTAAAAGAACGAAAACGGGAAGTCAATCGATTTCCAATACGTCATTCAAGCCGATTTATTCTTTTTCCCAGGTCAAGAAAGAGAAGGGATAAAAAGAAGCAGGAGTGGGAAGAAGATTACTAAAAAAGGGCAATATTTTAGAAACCATAGTCGATTTAGCGTCGCTTGTGACCGGTTTTGTTTATCTTGTGCTCTGTGATTTTTGTTAATTTGTCATTAATATCTGTGTTACTGGTGCCTTGCTTTGTGACTTAGTCCAACATAACCAGCCGTGCTTGTGTTTTAAATCGTTTGTTTATGTTTAATTGTCTATTTTATTGTAGAATTCCTAACAAAACCTAACTCTGTTTTTAGCCTGTGCATTTTGTTATTGTAACTTCTGTACGCTGTGGTGCATTTGTTTCAATAGCTTTTGTTGTTGTTTCCCATAACTTTCTTGTAATCTCTCTCCCGTTTCTTGTCGTCTAAACTGATGTCGTGTATATTTTGTTTGTGTTTCGCAAGCCACGCTCAGTCGACAGCCACTGTGTCGCGCTCTCTCGCTTTCGCAGTCTCTACGCGCTCTTATACTTTTGTGTTTTTATGTGTCTACATTTTGGTTGTTTGATCCCAGTGTCAAATTAAGTGAGGTATTTATAATTCTTTTGATTCTTTGGATTTAAAAATAACTTTTTTTTCTTAAATTTAAATACTTAAAAATGGCTCTTTTTTGTTCCAAGAAAGATTGTCAGTTTGGATCGTCACCTAATGACGTTTTTATATACTGTCGTCTCTGTTGGCAGAGTAAAAGATTTTAATGATCTGCGTGTTAGTTTTTCGTGGACTTGTGCCTCATGCGTTGAAATAGACCGGGATTTGGATGGCTATGTTGCGCTGACCAATGATCGTTTTATGAAACTTTTTAATAAACTTATGAGCGTAGTTCCTGATTTTAAAGAGTTTAAGGCGGACCTTGATAATAAAAAAAATGTCAGTGGGGT